TTTAATTTATAAGGTAATTTATTGCTCTCTCAATGGTTCAGTTGTTTCTATAAACTCCTATATATCTTTTTGTATGCTCATCTTTTTCATCCATTGTTAGGATGTTGGGAGGCTTAAATTGGGAAACCCTAGGACATTCCATTATCTGAATCAATCAAATTGTTATGAGCTGGATGGAGTAGATGATTCAAAGGAATATATTGCAACTAGAAGGGCAATGGATATTGTTGGAATCGGTAATGATGAGCAGGTAATTTTACTAGGGAGTTGTCTTTTCGAGAGAATTTGAGCTTTCAAAAGTACCATTTTATAATGAATTTGTCTTCCCTTTCCCTTATTATTTTTCAGGATGCAATCTTCCGAGTTGTGGCTGCAATTCTTCATTTAGGGAACATTGAGTTTGTGAAAGGGAAGGAAATGGATTCATCTGAGCCAAAAGATGAAAAATCTCGCTTCCATCTTAGAACCGCTGCTGAACTTTTTATGTAAATGACAACTATTCTGAATTCCTTAAATGGATATACTTTGTTGGTTATTTTATGTGCTTTGTTTGGAAATATTCAGAGAAGAAAGCAAATGCAGTTTTTAATTCCCCAAGTTTTGTTTAGGTGTGATGAGAAGGCTCTTGAAGACTCTTTATGCAAAAGAGTGATTGTAACCCGTGATGAGACTATAACAAAATGTCTTGATCCAGATTCTGCTGCTCTCAGTAGAGATGCTTTAGCCAAGATTGTGTATTCAAGACTGTTTGATTGGTAAGTTCCAATATCATTCTATAATACTTAAGGGAGAATTTAGTTGTTAATTTTTCTTCAGTTTGTACATGAACCTTAGTCAATGGCCTTTGGATTTTCAGGGTGATTTATCTGTTTGCTGCTTGTTTTCACAGGATTGTGAATAAGATAAATAGTTCAATTGGTCAGGATCCTGATTCAAAATTCTTAATTGGGGTGCTGGATATTTATGGATTCGAAAGTTTCAAGACAAACAGGTGCTTAACCGGTATGCTTTTAATTTTCATCATTTCTGTAGGCGAATTCTTGCAGTGAACTGCATGACAACCCTGTCTGCATGTCTGGTGGAAGGGCATTTATCCCATGGTTAGGGGGATTAGGACTTATATGGTGCCTATGTGAGTTGCCAGTTGATTTGATGGGTTCGTTGTGTTTTCTAATTTGTAAAAAGTATATCCAAGAATACCTATCTTAATATCAGCATTCATTTTTCTAGGTTGTTCTGCTTCTACACATGCTAGTTTGGTGGCTTGATCAAAAAATTTGTAAACCACTGTAAACCTTGCATGCTACTATAAAGTAGAATTCGTATTTCTCCCTTATCATTTGAGAACATTATTGAAGCTTTGTTAGTATTTAAAAAAAGTTTGTTAAGCTTTTTTTTATATCATTTTCTGTTCATATGGTTCAACTTCCTACATGGAACAAGCAGTCGATATTTTAGCCTTGACACTTCTGTGTTAAGGATTGAGTCAATTTTGCTCGTCCTAATCTCCACAACAAGTTTACAGTTTCTGAGTTTGTGGATCTTTATATGATCATGCAATTTTTCCCCTGTTTTTTTCGGCTATCGGTATTAGATTACTTAACTATGAAGCAAGGTATGCATTTTCACTACCTATTCCTGAGTTTGTGAACCCTTATTTGATCCCTTAAGAAATTTCTGGTGTTTGCTTCTAAACTACTTGCATGCAAAAGCAATATTAAATTCTTTTTGGGCGCTACCCAAAATTTCATCTAGTATGTTCTAAAACAGCATGGAAGGAAATGAATCTGGTGAAGTTGATATGGATACTATTATGATGATCCTTGTGGAGAATGCTGATAATAAAATACATTCCTTGTGGAAAATTATTATTATATTCAAATTTTGAACCTTTAACCCCAACTTCTATCTTGCTAACAAGCCCAAAATAATTGATTTCTTCCTACCCCTTGTTTTGCTAGAAAATCAACAAAAGAATTAACATCTCTTTTCACTCATTGTAAAGTGACCTCCATCTCTTTTGCAGCCATCTAATCACCAACATTGAATAACCCTCGATTGAAAGCTTGCGAATATTCAAGTCCTTTGCTTTCTGTATTCCTTCCGTGACAGAGTATTTCAGCTCATAGAGCATCAGCCACCCCTATTGGATCGGAGAATAAAGCAACAAATTTTCCTTCCTCCGTTCTGAACACACCTCCAATACCAGATGGACCTGGGTTACCTTCACTGCTACCATCCAAGTTCAACTTAATGAAACCTCTTAAAGGTGGGGACTATTGTAGTTATAAGTCACCTTAAGAAGAGCAGAATCGGCAATTTCCTTCCACTTCCTCATCATCAACTCACCTGCTGGAATGTCCTCAAACAGCTTCAAGGTCTTCACCCAATGAACCATTCTGATGGATATGTCTTCTATCTTCGCTTCCCTACTCCTTTCTTTTCCACGAGTATTCTTTGATTCCATTCTTCCCAGGGTGTCCAATAAACTGCCGCCCTTGTGCATTGCCATAGAATTCTACCCCTCTTCTTTGGCCATCTAACAAAGGTAGAGGAGAATAGGCTTTGAACAGTAGGTAGGGAGTTCCATCTGCACCCAAACAATGAGAGAACCATTCCCAAATTGAAGAAGAAAAAAGGCAAGAGATTAATAAATGATAGCAGGACTCACCACTGGCCTTGTAGAGAGGGCAACAGGAGGGTGGAGGACACCAGCCAGGTCTTTTTCTTTGTAGCACCAACTTCTAGCTCCATAGTGAAACATGAAATTTATGGCCACTTTCAGGACAAACAATTCCTCATTGCCCAATTTATTGCCACCAGTTCATTTGGCACATCTGCACATGCAATTCTTAAATCACTTGATATTCAAAGTGATTAATTATTCATAGAACCCATTGGTTACTCAATGCAACTAAGCCTTGTCCCAACTGCATGGGGCCAAGAGTTATTTGTTGTTGTCTGAGTTATCATTCTTGTTAAGATGTCGATGGGCCCTCATGTAGGCTGGGCTGGTGCCTATGTAATACCTGTCACAGCGCTACCAAGTAGGACATTGGACCAGAAGGAAAATGCAGATGGGTTCTTGTTGCTTAATATAGCTGAGAATATATTAATGATTGATATCTATGGTAGACTAGTTTGTTAGATGAAATGCCTTTTTTGAATTCCATGTATTAAATGCTTTCTTTTGGCAGTTTTGAGCAATTCTGTATCAATTTGACCAATGAGAAACTGCAGCAACATTTCAATCAGGTTTGCATATGAAAATCTTCTTCCAGTTCTTTGTCTTTCCTTGAAAATTATGAAAAACATCTACCTAAAAGTCCATTGCCCATTGTTGGTCCTGGCTATTTGGGGTCTTGGTAGGGGTGGACTGAAAAATGTTCACTTATTTCCACATATTTGATTCATTCTTGTATTGATGAGCAGCATGTTTTTAAAATGGAGCAAGAAGAATATACTAAAGAAGAGATTAACTGGAGCTACATAGAGTTCATTGATAACCAAGATGTTCTTGATCTTATTGAAAAGGTTTGTATTTTCCATCTTTGGTTAAGTTCTTTAGTTTATTTTATTTGTCTTAGTTGCATCAATTGTTTTAATAATGTGCATCTTGTATCAGCATGGCCATTACTAGCAGTTTATTAGTTCTATATATATATTTTTTGCATATTCCTGTCCGCTGATATCAGTTATTGGCCACTCAGCTTCCCTTCAAAATAGGAGGTGTGGGATCAAACTAGTGGAACTGCACCTCATGTGCTCCCTTCTCTGTCCCTCTAATGGAAAACAATTGAGAGGAAAGAAAACCCAGTAAGTTCGGTGAGTTCTGGGTGCTATATTTATACTTGTACATGAAAAGTTTTACAAATATAGGGAACCAGAAAGATAAGGGAATAGGGGGAACACAGGATAAGAAAGTGTGAGGGGATTGAGTTTAAAGTAAAACTGTTTAACAACTGTATATAGTTATCTTCGGATATCTAAGTTTTCTTAGAAGATGACGTGGCATGTATATCCTCTATACGCCCCTGCAAGCTGAGCTGGGCATGCCGCACAGGCAGCTTGAACCAAAGATCCAAAAACCACCGAGGTGACGATGGTTTTATGAAGAGATCAGCAATTTGCTTGTCTCTGGTAACATAGTGAACAGCCAATTGCTTGGAAATAATTAGATCACGAAGGAAATGGAAATCAACCTCCGCATGACGCGTTTGAGCTTGGAAGACAGGGTGACATGTGAGGTAGATGGCGCCCATGTTATCACACCAGACTGTGGGAACTTAGGAAAGAGAGCCAGCCAAGATCAGTTAATAAGGTACGCAGCCACAGTAACTCGGTAGTAACAGAAGCTAGTGCTCAGAATTCAGACTCTGCTGGAACGCGCCACGGTAGGTTGTTTCTTGGAGCTCTAACCAAGAAGATGATCGCAAAGAAAAATGCTATAGCCTCCAGTGGACTGCCTATCATCTGGGCAACCGGCTCAATCAGAGCCAGAGTAGGCAGTAAGATGACATCCTTTAGAGGCAGAGAAGAAGAGTCCTAAAGTGATTGTACCCTTCAAATATCGAAGGATGCACTTCACAGCTGCCCAATGCTCAGTAGATGGCAATGAAGAAATTGACAAATTTTATTCACAGCATACGCAACATCTGGGCGCGTAAGAGTAACATATTGCAAGGCACCCACCACACTTCTATATTCTGTAGCGTCAGGAAGGGGATCACTGCTAAGCTTGGACAATTTGCAAGAAGCAGCCATGGGAGAGGAAGCTGGTTTAACACCATCAAGGCCTGTACGAAGCAACAGATCAGCGATGTAACGCTGTTGAGTGAGAAGCAAGCCAGAAGAGGAACGCTGGACTTCAACTCCAAGGAAGAAGTGCAAAGGACCCAAGTCTTTCAAGGCAAATTCAGAGCCCAAACGTTGAATAATATGATCAATAAACGTGGTAGAGTTGCTGGTCACCAATATATCATCCACGTAGACTAGAATATAGGCAGTAACTGAACCATGAAGTAGAACAAAGAGAGAAGGATCCGCATGAGATGCCTTAAACACGAGATCAGCTTGAAGAGGATGCAAATAAGAGGCTGGTTCCTCGTCAATGCTAGCTTGAAGAGCCATGGGAAGAGGATGTTTAGTTGCCAATAGAATGCGAGGACGTCTTGTACCATAGTGCAAATAATCATGGGGTCAAGGTTCAAAGTATCGATACAGGGCGATACTTTGCTAGGGTGTATCAGCTTGTATCGGTCATTTTTTTAGTTTTATTTATTTATTTTTCAAAACTGGTTCAGAGGGGTCGGTTTGTCCCGGCTACCCTCTGAACCAGGCCCTGACTTGATACAACCCCTGTAGGGGTGTATCGGAAGGCCCCGATACGATACATATAACGATTTGTATTGGCCGATACGTAACGATTTTTTGAACCTTGCATGGGGTGAGTGTGGGTGGGTGGTGCTGAAGATGCAGGGACAGGCACAGGTGCAGGTTCAATGGTAGTTATAGTGCAAGTTTAGGGTGGGGGGGCTGAGATGGAATAGGGGAGGGGGGAACAGGTGCAACAAGTTGAGATGGAATAGAATCAACAAGATCATTGGTAAGGGAGGGAGCTGTAGCGGGCAAGGTTCAAAGTATCGGGAACGCCAAGTGTATCGGAAAAACAATTTTAAGAGAGATCAGGATATGCCTTGGATACGCATGCATAGCGGAGAAAAACTAAGATACACGTAGATACACTTGGAAACACTATAAATACTTTAATAAATCATAAAAATACATCAACAACACTAAATATAAGACCTCAATGAGGTGTATATACATTAAATTAATATATTTTAATGGTTTTATGAAGAAATATATTGTAGTTAATTATAATTTCATTAAAAATCCTATGCTTAACTTTAGTTTATAAATTATGATTCTTAAGTTTTAATGTTTTATGGGATGGGAAAAACCCAATTCTCCTATCCAACCATAAAACATGCATTGGCACAACTTCTATGTGAAAATATAATTAATAATTATTTATTATTCATTTCCAAAAATTATAAAAAATAAATAAACATTATATAATATATTCAAAAAATAGTTAGTAAAGAAGAAATTTCAATTGCTTTGTGGATATTGATAGATCATCCACAGAATTATGATATATTCAAGTATTGTGATCAAATGATAAAATGTAATTAATTAATTATTTTTTAATTCTAAAAACATAAAAAAATAGTTATTAAAAAAGAAATTTCAATTGGTTTGTGGATATGATAGATCATCCATAGAATTACAATATATTCAATCATTGTGATCAAATGATAAAATATAATTAATTATATTTTAATTCTAAAAATATATAAATAAAAAAATAATTATTAAAGAAGAAATTTCCATTGGTCTGTGGATATTATAGATCATCCATAGAATTATAATATATTCAATTGTTGTGATCAAATGATAAAATATAATTATATATTATTTATTTTTTAATTCTAAAAATATAAAAAATAAAAAAAGTAGAAATTTCAATTCCTCTATGGATATGATAGATAAATCCATAGTTCTAAAACATATTTAGTCTTTATAGGTAGAGAAAAAATTACATTTTCAATTTTTTTGTTAATTAATATTTTCCCCAAATATCTTCACGAGATTTCCATAAATCTACTGATAACACAAAAAAATTGTGATTTTGAATGTAAGAAATGTGGGTCAACATAAATTTAAACATTCAAGAAAAAAAAAGAAATCATAAGATATTATAAAAAATTAAAAAATTTACCTAATTTGCCATATGTTTTCAAAATTTGAAAAATCTTTAAAAAAATTAATGATTCATGCTTCTTCTTGCAAACTTTTGCAAATCTAGCACTTTAGGAATGAAGTTTGGAGTTTTAGAGTCATTTGGGGGGGGGGGGTGAAAGAAGGCTTATTTCGTGAAAATAAGCTTGCTTTCCCCTTTCAATTTTATTTTTTTAGTTTTTGGTCATATCTTTTTTGTCAATAGGCTACCGATACGCCCCAATACACCCCCGATACGCCCCTGGTACGCATGAAAAAAGACAAAAATTCGATTTCCATGCGTATCCCGTATCTATTTTTCTAAGATATGATACAATATGCCCCGTAAAGGGCGTATCATATTGAAATTTTAAACCTTGGTAGCAGGTTGAGCAGGTACAACAAGGATATCAATAAGAGGTCGAACTCGAGGGGGAGAAGACTCAGCAATGGCAGTTGTATCACTTGAATCAGAAGGGGGAGGAGGGGAATTAACAGGGGATCTAGGTACAAGTAAAGGCAGGGAAAGTAGCGTACTAGTAGAGGAGTTTGATGGGGATGTAGAGGAAGTATTCTTGTAAGGAAATCTGCTCTCATCTAAAACCACACGGCGGCTAATAAATTCTCTTCCAGAGGGAACATGATAGCACCGGTAGCTTTTGTGTGAGGAACTATATCCAAGGAATATGCATTGTAGAGATCAAAAGTCTAACTTGTGATGTACATAAGGTCGAAGATAGGGATAACAAGCACATCCGAATGTGCGAAGTAAGGAGTAATCAGGATAAATTAACCCAAACATCTGAATAAATTAACCCAAGAGGTTCATCAACCGAAACATGAGTAGAATTAAATCAACAGTCCCATCATCAAGTTGTATAAACTGCTTACAATCTGAATTTTAATAAAATACATATTTACTGATAAAAAAATTAAATGGCTGCTTATGGCTCTTGGCCATTTGACATGACTTACAAATACGACTACTACTACTACTAGAGTGCTGAATAGGTAAATTATATTGACTAACAATACTTTGAACTAACTTAAGAGAAGCATGACCCATGCATTCATGCCAACCTTGTAGACTAGTCTTCTCATGAATAAGGGCTGAAACTTGGTTCGGCTTATTGACTCCTACTCCTACTGCAACAGCACTTGGCATCTGATAGAGGCCTCCACAATTACTGCCGTGGAGCAGCACCTTCCTCTATTTGTCCTTGATCAAGAAGTAATCCTTGTGAAATTCAAACACAACTCGTGAGTAAATTTACTCACGAGAAGATCTGATATGCTGTATAGGAAGAGAATTACCATTGCCAACCTTGACTTGCTCATTACCCATATAATCGGCCTTTCTTTGTAGGTTGTTCAAATCAGGGGTGAAGTGATGGGTGGCTCTGGAGTCTGGATACCAATTCAGATCAAAGGGATTGGAGTTGGAAGTTCCAACATTATAAGAAGTTGGCTCTGAGGACTGGTTATGTTGTGATTCACCATGATAAGCAAGACCGAAACATCTCCTACACTGAAGAGCTCCATGGCCAGGCTTGCTGCATACCTGACAAACAATCTTGGGTTGTCTGGACCAACGATCATCATGTGAATGTCCACGGCCACGGCCTCTGAAGTTGTATTGATTAGGCTGATTACTATATGAATGATTGTTTTTAGAGCCTGATGAGAAACATCAGCAACTGGTGCATCAACAGGTTGAGCATTCTGTTCAATCCATGCCTCATGATTTAGTAACAGACCCACAAGATCATTAAAAGTCATGGTTTCAACATCTGGTCTATTGGCAATTGCTGTTACCAGTGATTCATACTCATTGCTTAACCCAGATAGTATGTAAAGTATATGATCAGAATTAGATGCGAGCTCTGCAGTTGCTGAGAGCTTATCAGATATGGCCTTTGCCTTTTGTATATAATCAGAAATGGAGCGTGAGCCCTTTTTCAGTGTTTGCAACTGCCTTCTGAGTTGCAACATACGAGTTTTTGACTGAGTTGAAAAAGAACGATTTGAAGCATTCCATACCTCTGCCACTGTTGAATAACATACCACTTGTGCAAGGATATTCTCAGTCAATGATGATTCAAGCCAACTTAGGACTAGTTGATCTGCCTGGAACCAATTTTGGTAATCTGGGTTCAGCTTTTGTTCTCCAGGATGCTCAGGATCTGCAATCATCTTTGGTGGAGCTTCCTCTGTTCCATCAACGTATCTCATTAAATGATGAGTGCGGAGAACTGGAAGTATTTGTGCCTTCCAAAGCAGAAAATTATCTCCCATGAGCTTAATGGTGATATGATGGGAAATTTTAGGAAAATGAAAGGTTGGTGAAACTCCTGTTATGCCTGTAGCAGTCATGACTGGTTGATTTGAACCTGAAGCAGCGTTGGAGATGCTCATGGTTGTCTCTGGCTCTGATACCATCTAATGGAAAACAATTGAGAGGAAAGAAAACCCAGTAAGTTCGGTGAGTTCTGGGTGCTATATTTATACTTGTACATAAAGAGTTTTACAAATACAGGGAACCAGAAAGATAAGGGAACAGAGGGAACACAGGATAAGAAAGTGTGAGGGGATTGAGTTTAAATTACAACTGTTTAACAACTGTGTATAGTTATCTCCGGATATCTAAGTCTTCTTAGAAGATGACGTGGCATGTATATCCTCTATAGTCCCCACCCCTGAGTCCCTTGTAAATACCAAAAGAATTTATCATTTGTTGATGGGTAACTGTTTTTGGTGTAATTAGTGAATCATTTTCATCTTATATTTCTCATACCTGATTTTATTGTTTCCAGAAACCTGGTGGGATCATTGCTCTTCTGGATGAAGCTTGGTATGAATAAGGATATTATCAGTGGTGCAATTACTATTCTCATATTTTGTTTAGGATGTAACATGTTTTTCTTTTCATTTAATGGGGGTGATTTTTCCTTTTCTTTTTAGAATTTGCTTGTTTGGGATTATGAAATAACTAAGGTTTGTATTTTTCAGCATGTTTCCAAGATCAACGCATGAAACTTTTGCACAAAAGCTGTATCAGACATTTAAAAATCATAAACGCTTCAGCAAGCCAAAGTTGTCACGCACTGACTTTACTATATCTCATTATGCAGGTGATGTAAGTAGCCTCTATTCATGCTAGGATATACGAGTTATAGTAAACCCCAAAATCCTAGAATCTGTACCTCACTTGGAAATAGGAAACTGGTTAACCATAAAATTTGACTTGCTTTTCAGGTCACTTATCAGACTGATTTGTTCCTTGACAAGAACAAAGATTATGTTGTTGCTGAGCATCAAGCACTCTTGAGTGCTTCAAAGTGTTCCTTTGTCTCTGATTTGTTTCCACCACTTCCTGAGGAGTCGTCCAAAACTTCAAAATTCTCATCAATAGGCTCACGATTTAAGGTGTGATGGTATCTTATTTGATTGATATTTTTTGCTTCTATCAATCAATTCTTGATTTATAGAGAGCTTTCATGTCACAATGCAGCAACAACTGCAAGCTTTGCTTGATACTCTGAGTTCCACTGAGCCACATTACATTCGTTGTGTAAAGCCCAATAATCTTCTTAAGCCAGCTATTTTTGAGAACCATAATGCTCTGCAACAGCTTCGGTGTGGGGTAAGAAAGTTTTTTATAGTTATATTCATGCTACATTTTGTGGCCACTAGTAAAATTTCTGTATATATTTGTCCTGTGGACTTACCTTTTGTCCCATTTCAGGGAGTCATGGAAGCAATTAGGATAAGTTGTGCAGGTTATCCTACAAGAAAAACATTTTGTGAATTTTTAGACCGTTTTGGCATTCTTGCACCCTATGTTCTTGATGGGAGGTAATCTTTCCCTATTTTCTTTCAACCCCCTCGAAAGAAACCCTGGCACTTTTAGGATTAGTATACTATTATATTATTTGAATGCTTTGACAAGTTTACCTTTTCATTTTTCTGGTTATTGATATTATGGCAGCTCTGATGAGGCTACAGCTTCCAAGATGTTGCTGGAGAAGTTGGATCTCAAAGGCTATCAGGTAAGAAGTATTAATTGATGGGAGATGACAATTAGTTCTCAATATATCCTTTTTGAAATAGAGTTACTTCCATTGCATTTATATTGCATAAGCATGCCAAAGCAATTTTTGTGATGCCCAGCTTTGTTTCTGAGGAACCAACAGCTTGCTATACATAGGTACACTATGTGATCCAGAAAATTTAATGAAGTTGTAGTAGTAAATATCAGTTATGAGTTGAGAAACCAGATTCGGCAAGGAAGTCTTATTAGGACCTTATATCACTATATTAATGTCAGCATTCACAGGTGTCTGTGCCCTTGTTACATAGATCTTGAATGGTCATATATCTGTAGTTTGAAAATATCTTCTTCTTCTGTTGAAACTAGTGAGCCTTCAATTATGCTTGACATGAACATTTCTAGTATATATTGCAGGGAACTGATCTACCTAGTCCAATTTCTGGGTTTTCAGTTGTGCTCCAAGAGAACATTTCCAGTTATGTTGCAGGTATCTGATCTCCCTAATCCAATTTTTTGCAGATCGGCAAAACAAAGGTGTTTCTTAGGGCTGGCCAGATGGCAGAACTTGATGCCCGTAGAAGTGAGGTTTTAGGAAGATCAGCAAGCATTATCCAGAGGAAAGTCCGCTCATTCTTGGCTCATAAAAGCTTTATTTTGTTGCGGCGATCTGTGTTATGGATTCAAGCTGCATGCAGAGGTACTGTTCTGTATATATCTTTTTTGATCAAGAAAGTTCTATATATACTTGGAAATTTATTTTCTTTCTTTCCTTTTTTGTAGAATATTTTTTAATACCTGAGAGCTAAGCTTTGTAATTTTTACAGAATGAGACAACTAAGTTTTTTTTAAAAACCTTTTATGCTGGTTACAGGACAAATTGCTCGTCAACTTTATGGGAACATGCGGAGAGAAGCTGCTTGTCTGCGTATCCAGAAACATTTGCGCATGTATCTTGCTAGGAAAGCTTACAAAAAATTGTGTTCTTCGGCTATTTCTCTTCAAGCAGGTATTCGTGGGATGGCTGCTCGTAAGGAGCTTCACTTCAGGAGGCAAACAAGAGCAGCAATTATTATCCAGGTAACATATGGCTTTATTTCATACACAAAAGGATTTGATATCTATTTATTGTTTACATTTTGCATTTGTGATAAGTAATCATTTAACCGTCTATATACCTTAATGATGCTTTTTGGACAATGGGAACCAAAAAGAAAAGAAATAAAAAAGAAACTTTGTTTCACAGAGACCATTATTTTGTTTATACATTAACTGCATTAGTTTATTCTAAGTAGGTAAGTTGTATTCTTACATGAGATTTGCTTATGCATTCTTATGTTATTATTATTCTCTCTTTTTTTTTTTAATTTTTTGATTATATTTCATAATTTTCATCTTGTAATTTGAGTAATACCGGTTCCTTGATGTTTAAAAAATATTGGTTATTTTTTTTCCAGAGTCAATGCCGGCAATACTTATCTCGCTTACACTACACGAGGATAAAGAAGGCAGCAATTTCCACACAATGTGCCTGGAGAGGAAGAGTTGCTAGAAGAGAACTACGGAAACTTAAAATGGTGAGCTTGTCTTCCCTTTTCCATTTTTTTTTTAAATTCTCTTTATTTATGAATTGTGAAAGAGAACTTTTCTTCCCTTTTCACAATTCATAAACAAAAACCATCAATGAGGTTTTTATTTATGAATTGTGAAAGATATAACTCCCATAATCCAAAGAGTGGACATAAGGAGACAAAGACAATTACAGAGTAGGAAGCTTACCTAATAATACAAAAAAGAAAAAAGAAACAAATTAGAGAGCTACAAAATGAAACTATAACTGAACCCTTCCATGGTCTTATTAATGGGCATAGTGGCTATTTTGTTGTTGTCTATGTGATTGTGGTATTAAATGACCATGTTCACTAACCTTTTCTTTGTGTAAAAAAGCTACATTGTCATTTGCTATTATTCTATTACATTCAAAGACTTGATATCATTTGATACATACCTTATAACTTTCTTTGAATAATAAATTAGCATGCTGAACTCTGGGTGTTTGAAGCAATATGTTTCATTTTTGTGTTTTCTTTAAACTTAATGACTCTATATCTAAATTGTTGTGATTATATCTGCAGGCTGCAAAAGAAACTGGTGCCCTGCAGGCTGCCAAAAATAAATTGGAAAAGCAAGTTGAAGAATTGACATGGCGACTACAGCTAGAGAAACGCATGAGGGTAAACATTAAGAACCTTCAATTTTGGTATATGCCAAACACTTTTGACTGTCCTTATTCTGTTAACAAGAAAGGGTCTATAAATGTAATAAGATGCAAACATGGGAAACATTGATGACCGACTAAAGAAAATAATGTCTTAGAAGGAGCAATAATATATAACCACCCTTTCTGTATGAAAATCAAGGTTTAAAATGTTGATGTCGATGGAAATGTCGCTTACCAAAATATAGGACATATGTCGGAAATGTCGAGGGGAAATATTGTAAAAATTAGAGACATTGTGGAAATATTA